AATATAAAGATATAAATATTTTAAATTAGATGAAGAATGCAAAACTTTATTAAGTATAAGATTATTTTGAATCTACGTTGTTCGGGGAAAAATAATTATTTGGTTTATATTAAATAATATTTATTAAATCGACAATAAAATTAAGAAAATCATTAGTTATATAAAATTTAGAATAAGAAAGATATTAAATTGATTTAAAATCAATATAATAAATAAGAAGGATAATGTAAGGCAATTTTATTTGATAAAACTAAATCTATAAAGGTTTCGAATGAAATAGAGTAAATTAAACTTTTGAAATTTGAAAATAGAAGATTGTCTCTATAAAGTTAACTATAAAACGGCAGGCTTCATGTTAAATTTATAGTTTATAGTAAATTAATAAATAACTTTATTTCAAGTTCTGCAGATAAGTAGATCATTTGTAGGATTTAGGTTGATATCAACTATTGGAGTTCTAAAGTTTATAAATTTCTTAAAGTTACAATTAATTGCTTCATTTTAAATTAAAGAGAAGATTAACTAATATCAAGTAGAGATGACAAATGAATAATTGTTTGAAGTTTAGACTTTTTTTAAATAATTAACTTATTTATAGATATGCTTTGAAAGAATACTATTATATATACCTAAAGGAAACAGAATTAGTTTTATTTATTATTAATAATTCCTTTGAGTAATATAAGATTGAGATATTAATCATATTTTAGTATTCTAACAAGATTGGACAATATTTAAGTAAAAAAGAATATGAAAATAAAAATAAAATTAAAGAGAATAGATCGTGAAGATTACATTATTTTTCGCATAATAATAAATAAAAATATAAAAATCTTCTCTATAATTAGAGATTTTATTGATAATTAATAGATTTTTATAAATTAAATTAATTTAGACTTAAAGATTCTGATGTAGCTATACAATATATTAATGAAAATACTATAGAATTTATAGATTAAATTTTTCAAAAATTATTACTATTTATTTAATATTAAGATAAAAATAATTTTATTAAGGAAATGAATTATATAATATTAATACTAATAGAAGAACTTTAATTAAATATAGTTATTTTACATCAAATATAAATTACATAATATTTTTGGATAACAATTTAATATTATTTGCAATAATAATCAAATTAATTCAATATAATATTGTATAAAATAAAATATATTAAAATCAAATGATTATCATACTCTTATTAATCAAAGTGATCTGTATATTTCCTAATACTTAATTCAAAAAAGATTAATAAATATCTTTATACCCTACTGTAGGAGAATTTTATGAATACTATTTGGAGAGTTTGTTATAAGAATCTTAATTAATTTGCAAAATGCATCCTTAAATTCCAAATGTGTAATTAATCAATTAATGTGAAGAAATATACTAAATTTAAGGACAATGTAAATTATTAAGATTATTATAATAGAATATATTTCAATGTCGTCAAATAATACACATTTTAGTACATTATCTAATAATAATGAAATAATTATATATGAATGGAAGAATTAAATGATTCAATAGATTGGAGTATCTGTATTTATTGATCCTTTATATAATTGTTTTAATATCGATTTGTTTTTAAATTAGAAAATTTTGGTGGATTGCTATTATAACAATGAATTATTATTAATTCAAATAATAGATTCATAATCAATAATTGCTTATTAAATATAATCAAATATACCTACTTCAACTAAAATATAATCAATTGTAAATGGAACAAATATATTTATTGTATATGCCTAATATTTTAAGAAATATTCAATACTTACACTATTTTCATCATCATTTAAAAATTTAAGTAGCTTAAATAACTAATTTATCGATTTTGATATACCAATCACAATAAGTCCAAATATTTATGCAATTACTTTCCAAAACATTCTCTAGTTATCCATATCTTAAGATTATTAATTTAATTTGATTTATAATTTTAGCTATGATGGTATGAGTAATTTTAAAACTATTAATGTTTTTTATAATTTATGGAGTTATTCTTAATGTGATTAAATATAGTTATCATATTTAAAACTATCAAAAATAAAAAAATCGCTATTATTAGGATGTTAGAATATAATAATAACACTAAATTAAGGACTTCTTAATTAATTTAGTCAGCCTATATTAAAAATACTTTAAAGTGACTAATTTATAATATGTTAATTCATTGATAAAATATTGATTAAACAATAAAAAACAAAAGAACAATTTACATATAATCTAACTATTTAAAACAATTCCCTTTTATATTTCAACTCTGATAATCAATTATTTTTATTTAATTAAGAAATTAAAGTTTATCAAATTAAATATACATCTTTTTCAATTAACTTAACTACTTAAGAAAATTCAAAATTAAATTATACTTTTTAACTTATTTGTAAGAATATTAGTAAAGGAAATTACACTTATACTTACTCTAACTTTTACCTTTAAATATTATCTTAGAATGATACAAATATATATGTAATGTATAATTAAGATTTCCCATTCTAATAGTCTTCTTTAAACTATGACCCCATAAATCCTTTTTATAGTTTTTCAGGTCAACTATTACAATATAACCAAAACTAAGATGAACCCTATTTTAATTTTAAATTAATAACTTTTTAAAATGTTGGTGAAATTATTTAGAGTTATTAATTTTTATCATTTATTTCAATGAACTATCCTTTCGTTTCAAAATAATATTTAATAGGATATATTAATTAGTCACTTAATCTACTGTCTTGCTTTTAAAAAAGCACAATTCAATCATACTAATTCACTACATTAAGTTCAATTAATATTTCTGTAAATGCAAGTTCTTTATAAGTTGCCTATAGTATTTATCCTGATAAGCTTATAATTGGTCTCAGTACTAATGATACAATCTATTTGTTTCTATATAAGAATGAAAGTACTATACCAAGTGTTACTCAATCAAATTATACTTTTGAATAAGAATTCTCAGATTTTATAGTAACATATAATAGTATAATAATTCTAATTGAATAATAAGAAATTCAAATATTAACATTTAATTATACAGTTACATATACTTTAAATTAATAGTCAATAAATAAATTATTTAATAACATTACATTCAATCCAATATAAATAGTTATGAATACATAATCAGTATCATCTTTTGTATATATCAACAATATAAATGAAGTAATAATAATATCAATAGATTAAAATAGTTATCCAATACCAATATCATTGATTTAAGTCAATTTTACAATAAAATAGATAAATTTAGTAAACTAATAATTGATATTATCATATATATGTAATAATCAAAACAATATTTGCTTCTAAGTTTGGAATGTGTAAAATTTACCAAAATATTATTATGTAAAGAATCTATATAGTGTCAATTTTGATAATAATATAATAATATAATCAGATAA